TCATTCTCTTGCTGGTACGAACTGCTCCCAGTAGGACGTATGTTTGTCTTTTGTTGGCGGCTTGAGAGTTTTCATGCTGGTGCTTGTTGTCACTGGGCGTATGTCGAGCTCCGTATGTTTGGCTTGTCTTGGCAGCTTGTGTGTGGGCCTCGCAGTCTTGAGAGGTGTGACGCTGGTGCTTGTTGTCATCGTCGGGGAGCACCTTGTGCTTGGAGGTATGCCACAGTGCGGTTGATGATGTCAGATCTGAAGGTGGGGAAGGGAGGGAGTGGGCGGTGGGTTTGGTGGTGGAGGAGGATGAGGTCGTTAAGGTAGTCCCATGTGCGCGGTGTGTGTGGCATGTTGTACATTTTGAGTGTCAGGGGGGAGGTGAGCATGTCATGGATGATGGCAGTGGAACGGGTTGCGCCCCAGGGTTCAAGAGGGAGCCACCAAAGGGGATCGGTCTCACTGATTGTCTGAGGCTGAAGTTGTAATTCGATCACACTGGTAGCGGAGGCGGCTGAAAACAGGGGAGCGTATTTTGCTGTAGTCGTCGTTGACTATTTTAAGCATGAAGGTTTTCATTTGTGCGAAATGGATATTGGGATGCGGGTGGGGGTCAGGGCAGCGGAGCATGTGTGTGTGGTTTTGTTTGTAAATGTCGAAGAAGTTGTAAAGGTGAGTTGAAAAGGCAGCTTGGTCGGTAGTAAGGAAGTCTTCCCAGAGGAGCTGGTCGATAATGCGATTGATGTTATTGGAGTTTATGAGAGGGATCCAAGTGTCGAATGTGGGAATGGGGAGTTGAGCGAGGGTGTCGTCGTCGAGATCGAATTGTGAGGAGGTCAGGTGTTGTGAGGAGGAAGGTAAAGTAGAGGTAGTGCGTGTTGAGGAAGTGGGAGTGCATGTGGTTGTGCAAGTAGGGAGTGTGGAAGGTGTTGTGAGTGTTGTAGTGATTTGTGAAGGTGTCGATGAAGCAGGGAGTGCAAGAGTTGGGGCTGGTGTTGATATGGTTGTTGATGCAGCGATTGTTGATCTTTTAGGGACTGCAGCAGTTGGGGGAGATGCTGATGTAGTTGTTGATGCAAGTGCCGCAGTTGCTGATGCAGCTAGCAAGATATGTGGTAGGAGAACTTGGTGAAGGGATGGGAGGATTCGACCACGAAGGAATCTGTTGTTTGGGATGGAGTCAATGATGAGTCGTGTGCCATTGCACAGGCCATTTCTCATGGCGATAATTTGTAGGACGATGACAGGGGCGCCTTTTTTCATTCGTAGGATGTGGGGCGGGAGTGATGGAAGGTCAAGCGTGTTAAGAGTGTCGATAGGGACATCAGGGAAGTTTTCGTTGGGTAGGAGTGAGTCAGCACTGAGGCAAGTGATGATGCTTCTTGGAAATGAATCAAGAATGATGTTGTTAAGAGTCGAAACGACTTTGTTTTTTGGTGACAAAATAAGGCGTTCAGCAAGCCATTGTGGGTTTTTCGAGTTTTCTTGCAGGTCGGGGAAAGTCTAATTTATGAGTTCGGGAGTGTCGTCGTGGAGGCAAAGGTGAGGTGGGAGATGAACGGTATTCGCAGGTGCATTGTGTGGTTGTTCAGTCACCGTTTTCGAGTGTAAGTAACCATTGCGCATACTCATGACCGGCAGGAGTATTGATTTGTGTAAGGACGCGCATGTTTTCAAAGAGAAGCATTGTGTGGAAGGGTCGCCAGAGAAATGAGGATTTAATGCACGCGTCTATTGTTTGTGCGCATGTGCCTTTAGTAATAACAGGAAGGATTTGTCATAAATCACCGCCGAGAACAGAGACTTTCCCACCGAATGGAAGCAGACATGAACAGATGTCTTGTAATGTTCTGTTTAATGCTTCAATGTGAAATTTGTGTATCATGGGTGCTTCTTCCCAGAGGATGAGAACAGCCATGCGGATAAGTTGGGAGAGTGCAGATTGTTTGGGAATATCTAATGTGGATGTAGCGATGGGGGTTAGTGGTGCTTTTAAACAGGAGTGGAAAGTTCGTCCACCGTCT